CAGAAATTTATTCCTTACAGCTCTGGAGGCTGGGAATCCAAGAACAAGGTGCTAGTAGATTTGTCTGGTGAGGACTTGTTCCTCCTAGAAGGCGCCTTCTGTGTGTCCTCACTTGATGGAAAGGGCAAACAAGCTCCCTTGAGCCTTTCTGTAAGAGGACTGATCCTGTACGTGAAGACTCCACTCTCAAGACCTAATTAGCTCCCAAGACCTCCACCTCTGAATACCATCACCTTGGGGATGAGGGTTCAACATAGGAGTTCTGGAGGGACACAATCAGACCATGGCCCCCAGGTACCACAAGTAGCTTTAAGAATGGAGGAACTCCCTCAGGGCTCAGCATGTTTAAGGACTAGAAAGCATTCCTGGTACTTGGCAGTTAGGAGAACCCTGGTGATCTTACCAGGGTAGTTCTAGAGGATCCGTGGACCCAGCAGCCAGCAGTGAGGAGTGGAAATGAGGTGGCTCCATGTGGAGGTCAGCCTGCTCTTCTGGTCTCACTGTGAGTGACAGCACCACTTGGAGGTGATGGAGGTGAGAGCGTTGCACTGGCCATCTGTGGAATGGAGCCTAAGGATGGCTTGAGTTAGTCTTCCCTCCAATTAGCAGCTGCCTTCCTGTGTGTGTCTGAGTATAAGGGGTGCTTTCTAGGGGGTAGAGAAGGACACTGGGTTACAGATAAGGATCAAGCTCAGATGCTACAGGGTGATATTGAGCCTGGGAAGCCTGGAAGTTTTATCACAGAAAATTGGCTCCTCATGGGCTCTTTTCTTCTCCCCCAGCTCCACCTTCTCAGATTCTCTCCTTACTGAACAGAAGAGGCAACTGCTGGACAACTGCTTATCCCTTCTCTCCCCTCAAAGGTACAATGCCTCTTCCCTGACCCTCACTCTTAGTTGATAATATCCCTTCTTAGCTCATTGTTAAAAACCAAACCTCAACAAAAGAGGCAATGGAGAGAACTCCTGCCAAACCCAGCACAGAACAGTCAGTTGCTGTTCATGGTCCTGCCTGCCCCGTTTGCATGACTGTCTCACACACAGGCCAGCCCATCCCAACCGATCAAGAGGACCGTCCCAAAGGCACCCCACCCCCACACCAGCACTGTTTGGCTTGCCTCTGGATCTCTTCAACAAACAATTACTTCACCTACTTACCAGAAAACAGAACCTTATTTTAACTTTTATTTTAGGTTCGGGGGTACAGGTGCAGGTTTGTTACATAGGAAAATTTATGTCATGGGGATTTGTGGTTCAGATTATTTCATCACCCAAGTACTAAGCCTAGTACTGAATAATTATTTTTTTCTGCTCCTCTCCCTCCTCCCACACTCCACCCTGAAGAAGCCCCCAGTGTCTGTTGTTCCCTTCTTTGTATTCATAAGTCATCATTTAGCTCCCACTTATAAGTGAGAACACATGGTGTTTGGTTTTCTGTTCCTGTGTTAGTTTGGTAAAGATAAGGGCCTCCAGCTCCAACCATATTTCTGCAAAAGACACAGTCTTGTTCTTTTTAATAGCTGCATAGTATTCCATGATGTATATGTACCACATTTTCTTTATCCAATCTGTCATTAATGAGCATTTAGGTTGATTGCATGTCTTTGCTATTGTGAATAGTGCTGCAATGAATGTTTGCATATTAGAATGCATCTCTATGGTTGAATGATTTCTATTCCTCTGGATATATATCTAGTAATGGGATTGCTGGGTCAAATGGTAGTTCTGTAACAAACTTTTTTGATTGCACCCTCCTCTGCAGCTGCCAGGCATCGCCCTGTTTCACTCTGTGGCAGAACTGCTCCACAGTGTCCTCTGGACTCAGGGCTCCAGTTCCTCTCCTGTGAAACCCTCCTTGTTGGGAGTTCTTTGGGGACAACTGCACCAGCGCTGCTCCTGTCAAGGTCATCAGTCTTCTCCATGTTGCTGCATCCTATGGTTAGTATCAGCCATTTCCCAGGCCCTATCTCACTTGACCCATCACAGAAATCTTCAGCTCTGTTGATATTTGTACCACGAACTTTATTCCACAAAGAATAAAGGTTTTGAAAACCAGATCTTGTCATCAGTTTTTAAAATTATGTTATAATGGATACATAAAAAAGAATCTGTGGAATGCATATATTAATATTCAGGTTAGATACAATTAGTCATTACTGCAAACGTGCCATTCCCACCCTGTTGAGGCTTACACAGGTGGGGAAGTTATTCCCCTTGTACAAATTAGGAGAAGGGGTTCAGAGAGGTTAAGACACCTGCCGGAGGCAGAGCTAGGATTTGAACCCAACTCTGTTTGACTCTAAAATCTGTATTTCATACAGTAGGCAGCACTGCCATCAAGAAAGATCCAGGTGTTTTGGAGCCTGAGGCAAATACATTTCAGAGCCTGGTTTTAAAATATAAAATTATAAAACCACAGTAGGATTTTTAAATTTTTTTGTAAGGGGCTGGTACAGGGAAAGAGCGACTTTGAAGCCTAAGCTTTGTTAGCTTCCCAATCAAATGTGTCTCTTCCCTGTTCCTGCCCTACTGGGAATACACAAACTGCTTGTCTGTTGTTCACTCACTCCACACACACTTACCAAGCACCTACTACCTGCCAGGCTTGTTGTGGGCACTTAAGATACATGGGTGAACCAAAGAGCCAAAGATCCCTGCTTTGCAGAGCCTATTAAATACAAATCAACAACAGATGCATATCCTTAGCATTTAGAGCAGGTTAGAAGGTAAGAAGAAAACTTAGAGCCAGTTATGGGGACAGGGAATGGTCAAGTGGCTAGGGGCGAAGTGCATTGTGAAATAGGGTGTTCTGGGTCAGACTGGCTGAGAGGAAGGCCTGGGATTAGGGTGTGGTAGAAACCCAGTCACCCTTGAGGAGGCTGCTGGGAGGACACCCTGCTGATTGGTTACCAGGCACTTACAGCCTTGATCAGTAGATTGGCCTAAAGTACCTGGGGATGGGTGGTCCAGGGCAAAAGATGAGCCCAAGGAGAAGCAGGCTTTGAGAGATGTCTGGTATTCTCCCCACAGCAGGAACACACCTGTGGGTGCCACCAGCCTTGGCCCGACTTTCCGCAACAGTAGGTGCTATGGAGCCCCAGGTCAGCTGCCTGAGGCCAGTTATGCACAAACGGGGTTCCCCGCCCCTGCTCTCTTGGTGGACAATGACAGGTTATGAGAAGTGGGCGACGATGCTGTTCCCTAGGGAGAAGACTGGAGGGGTGGCAAGAAGGGCCTAACCGAGCAATGGGGTCTGGGCAGGGGACACATGTCTGGAGCCCAGGTGCAGCCAGCCAGGCGGGGAGCACAGGCCCAGGGGCAGCTCCTGTGCAGGGACCTGACTGATGGCGCCAGGTGTGGGTGGTCACTCAGAAAGACGCCTCGGCAGAACTCAGGCCCTTCTTCCTGGTGGAGGCCCAGTTGGGGGGAGGGGTGCATCAGCTGAAGGGAGAAGGGTCTTTCTTGGGGGGACCAGGAGGCACACGTGGAGCTTGGGCAGATAGGGTGGCCAGAATGGGACCCATACCCCTGCTCCACAGGAACCCCCAGCTCCCCAGGGCACCTCCGACTGCCCACAATGACCCTACCGTTGCCCCTAGGCCTCCGGTGGGCTAAGAGCCTGCATGTGGGAGGGGGAGTCAGAAATGTAACTTCAAGAAGTTAGCCCCAGCTGCCTGGGCAGGTTGGTGGCCCCAGCCCAGAGTCATGGCTTCCTGGGCACCCCCACCCCATCCCTGTCCTTGTTGGCTTCTCAAGGGAGGGCTCCATCTCCTTCCTCCCAGTTCACATTCACCTTGACTAACACCTGGCACCCTGGTGGGACTCCCCCAACACCCAGTCTCCCTTGGGAGTGCAGTGCCCTGGGCTAGCAGGGCCAGGCCTCCTGGGGCCCCCTGAGATGGAGGGGGGCAGAGGGTGGGACTAGCATATGGGTAACAGCCACACACACTTACCCAGGAGTGTCAGCAATGAAAGGGAATGAATTCCTCTTTCCAGACAGTATTGAGTCTTCCAGGTAATATTTCTGCTACTGCTGAACAGAGTGAACTGAGTGTGTGAGCCTTGGGTAAGGCCTAGGCATAGGTTCTAAACTCCTTCCCAGTTGCCTGACCCCCAGAGCCCGTCCTCTGGTGGTGGAGAAATAGAATTATAAACAAAATCTTCTCCCATCCCAGCAAGCCTCTCTGCAGAGGTAGAAGACAAAGAAAACACTTTTATCCCTGAAGAAGAATTAACCCAGAGTGAGATGCCAATGATCTGTTAGACAAAAAGAAATCTCACTGCTAATCTAGCCAGCAGGTCCAACCCATTGCACATGTTTTAAGAGAAGCCCCGTCTAGTCCTCATGTCAGGGGACTGTGCAGCACCTTTGGTCACATTGAGTTCATCAGAGATGCAACCTCAATTCACCCGACAACCTGTGTCTGCTATTTGACTTCATACAAAAGAAAAACAACCCTTATCTTTATGACAGGAGTTAGATTTACCACACAGAGCAAACGCTAGTTTCCCGCCCTCCCACAGAGATTAGGAGATAGTGTCCTGGCTGCTCTGATGATGGCATTTCAAAGACTGTGCTCCTAGATCCTTCAGGAACACAGTCCTGGGTTACAAAGCTGACAAAAGGCGTATTTTCCTGTCAAAACGCTTTGCATGTCCCTCAAAGGGGCAGAGGAAGGATTTACAATGACAAGTTTTCCAAAGAAAACACTCTAAGAAAAGGGAGAGAGGACACCTCTTCCCTTAACAAGAAGAATTAAGGCTCTTCACTGTCTTTTTTCTTTTAATCTTTTGCCTTAACTCTGTTTCTGAGAGCATTACCCCATGACTCCTGAGTCATACCACCAGTCCTGCTGATCCTAGCACAGGGTCTTTGGAGTGACCCTGTTTTTGCCTTATTGCTTAAAAAGTAAAAAACTCAGCTTGCTTAGTATTTGGCATAAATCTGCATGTTCCCTTTGAAGCAGAAGTGGTGAGAAACAAACCTCTCGAACAAGGAACTGAGGAAGGAAGTGGCTTTTTATTCTGCTGGGAGCTGCGGCAGGGCTACTGCCTTATTCACCAAGCTCCCCGAGAAGCAGCTTCTCTCCCCTTTTATAGGCTTACAACGCTAAAGGGGAAACTGAGGTGAAACCAGGTCATTGTCCATTTGCTGGATGTCCAACCTTACAATCTTTTGGCTTCACTGATTTGCTAATTCATATGCAGCATGAGCAGGGACTGGCAGGGTAGGGGGCTTACAGAGGCAAGACAAAGGCAATAAACTATTAGTTGGCAGAGGTGTTTCCAGAAGGGAGACATGGGGGTGTGACCCAGTGCCAGGCTCCAGCCAGTAGGGATAACATTTATTTGCAACTCTTTTCAAGTTTTACAGATAGCAGAGACACTGGGAACCAAAAAGGGAGTCATCTTCCCAGTTCTTTGGTGTTTTTTTTGTTCTTCTTCACCCTCCTTCCCATCTGGAGGGGAGAGGAGGGAGGAGGCAGAGACTGGGAAACAGAAGGAGGTGAGGGGGTCTCCCCTCTCACCCTCCGCTTTGAGAATCTCACCCCCCTCTTTTTTTTAGTGAGAATTCTCACTCTTACTTTTAGTGAGAAACCTCACTGTCAGTGTATTCTAGTGAAGCAGATTGGTAGTGATTCTTGTGATAGGCATACACTGACATTTTTTCTTGAACCACAGCAGTAAAAAATCCTTTCACCATCTGAAGGAGCAAGGGCATTAAGCAGGGGAGCAATATGCATGCTCCTACTATCAGTAACACACGACAATAGTCTTGAGTCCTCCCTATAGCAGGAAACCAATTCCCAAACATTGATCCAGGGTTGAACCCATGCCAGACCTGTATGGGTACATGCACCGGTTTTGTCATGTCCCTTACAATAGTTTCAACCACCTGAGCCTGGTCATCTATTTGCAGGCAACAGTTGGTTAAGTTCAATTTTCCACATACCCTTCCTTCAGCTGCCAGTAAGTAATTTAAAGCCAGTTTATTTTGGTAGATGGCATTTCTCATTTTGGTCTCCTGGTGTGCCAGGGCAGTTAGAGCCTGGCCAGTTTTGTTGGTCAGGATTTTTAGGACAGCTTGCAATTGAATGATTTGATTAAGCACATAGATTGGAGTACGATAGCCATTCTCTGCTCATGTGGCTGGCCCTTAGTATTGTATTATTCTCTGAGGGGGCCATTCATCATCTTTCCAGTCCCCTATAACTAGGCTTTGCTTGTTTCATGAAGAATAGACAGAAAAACCTAACAACTCCCCAGTTCTTAGGGGTAACAGGAAGAAAGAGGGCTTGATAGTGCCAAGGACAAAACTGCCCATCCACTGGTCTGGCAGTTTGGTGTAGGTCCTGTGCCCACATATCCAGTACAAGCCAGAAGGTGCTACCCAGTCCTCATGGAGTTCCAGGTGGGTCAGGCCGCCTGTAAGGTGAGAAACTTTTGGAAAGGGTTGGTCTTGGTCCTATTTAAACTTCACCAAGTGATTGTTTTACTGGTTCCATTACATAGCTTCTGTTCCAAACAGTTCAGCTTTCCCACTGGGACTATTATACCCCTTCCTATTCTGGCCAGACAATAGTGTCCAGTGATGGAGGTTTTTAAGATTCAGAAGCTGTTACTCAGGCCCTTTTGCACATGAGTCGCATTAGGGACAGGGTCGGCAGGCACAGCTTGCATGCTTCCCATGGCTACCGGTTCCCATAGTTGTTCCTCCACACACATAACAATAATGCACTTTTAAAGTCTTGGCCAACTTTTTAGCTAACTGAAAGAACAAGTTTCTTTCTTTTTTTCTGGGAGAGTTCTGAAACTGGTTCATTTAATATATTATAAAAAGCTTGAAACACCAGGTGGCATGATTGTTTCAGGATATCTTCCTGAATTAGAATGTTAACCATGGGGTCCAGTCCTTTTTTATTAATTCCCATTATTACAGATTTCCCTTTCCTTCAACAAGGATCCAGAGGATTGGTGATTGTCAATTTTAATGGATTACAATGGCCAGAGGGCTAGGAGAAGTTATTCCTCCCCTTTCGGAGACGAACTGGGTCATTTTTATTATTCTTCCAAGTGGCCCAGATGACACATGACCAGTAGTCACAACCACTGCTGCATGGCCATCAGTTATGACAGATGTATTTATGCTCTGCCATATAGCTTCTCTCCCAACCAAGAGAGCCACACCCCAGACCTTGCTTGTTACTATTGACAGCTGCACAAGCACAGAATTTTATGGTGACCTGCTGAGGTTTTTTTTTTTTTTTCTCCTCAGCTTTAGTAATTACTTGTGTCCCCTAAAAAAGGACCAGTTCTCAGCCTTATTTCGAGTATGGTGGACATGGTAGGGTCGGATGGGTTATAACATACATCAGGTTGGTTGCTCCCCGGGCTGCACATCCCGTACTGGGTAGTATTATATAAACAAGTTCTTCTGAGGGCTCTAGTGCCTTCATAACTATAAAACAAGAGGACTGTGGCAACCTTTCATTCTACCTTAGTAATCTTATGTATGCACTGGGAACCATCCTTGGATGGAAGGTTGACATCTACTGGAGTAGCAAAGATACAAGTCCATAGTCCAAACAGAAGGAGTACCGGTCCCATGGGGGCAGTCCTCATGCTTTGGCTGTGTGTAGACCAGTCGGCTTCCGGGGTGTGACTGGAGCAGGGCTTGATGTCTCAGTTCTCCTTAAGGTAATCTTGCATGGGTTATGGAGATAGGGCTTCACTTCCCAGGTGTCTGGTGCTGCAGGTTTAATATGGCTGTGATGGATCCACACAGGAACTCCCTTGACCTTCACGGCGGTTGGAGTTGTTAGAATGACAGTTTGGGGTCCTTTCCACCTTGGTTGTAGGGGAGCCGAGTTCCAGTCCTTGATCCAAACTTGGTCACCTGGTGAAAACGGGTGAACTGGGGAGAATAACCTGACAGACATGGGGATGTGACCCAGTGCTGGGCTCCAGCCAGCAGGGATAACATTTATTTGCAACTCTTTCAAGGCTCACAGCAGAGACACTGGGAACCGAAAAAGAAGTCATCTTTCCAGCTCTTTGGTAATGTTTTTTCTTTTTCACCCTCCTTTCCTTCTGGAGGGGCGGGGTGGGGGGAGGAAGTGGAAACTGGGAAACAGAAGGAGGCAAGGGGGTCTCCCCTCTCACCTTCAAGAAACCCTTAGCCCTGAGGAAGTGAGGTGAGCTGTGGTTAAGGCAGCTCCCCAGGCTAGGCTCCTGCTCTCCCCTTGCCCCTCACATAGGCTTCCCTGGTCACCCCTCACTGTAACAAAGCAAGACCTGACTATGAAAGCTTCCACATGCAGGCCAGACACATGGATCTTTGGGTTTGCACTTCTGGCATTGTCTGCGGCAAGTGCTCAGTTGCAGGCCGGCCTCCCAGGAGGCTCCGGGATCCATTCCTTTATTTAGGACTTGAAAATGAACTGGAAATGAGGACTTTTGAACTGGAAGACATTTCAGAAATGATCAAATTTAATAGTTTCCAACCCTTTGTGATCGCAGACACTTTTGAAGATCTGATGTAGAAAGTGAGCCCACAAATCTGCACATCACTGCGGGTTTAAGGAGCCCCTGTGGGGCCCACGCAGCCCTTGATGGTTAGCTGAGGGGCTGCAGCTGAGCCCTGTCTCCCGAGGCAGAGGTCTGGGCTTTTAGTGGGAAAAACAGCACCCACGTCATAGCAGGCAGCAGAAGCTCACTGGTTATGCCAAGTCTGATTAAGAAAACTCTGGTGCGCATTTTTGAGAGGCTGCATTTTAGAGGCTTTGTTTCAGGTTTTCTGTGTGGCTGATCAGTTCTGTGTTCAAGGCTGGCTGCCAGCAGTGGACTGGAATTGCTGGGGCTCCACATCAGCGCTACAGAGAGGCAGATGAACTGCAACAATAGTCTCTTCCCAGGAGTACAAAGTCTCAGTGACAGGAGCCTCTGTCCCTGACCCCAAACTGTACTGTCCTCTACTCTGTGGGCTTCTGAAAGGAACAGAAAGGACCACAGCCAAACCTGCACCTACAAAGGATCTCAGCAGAATCTGTGTGGCCTACACCTTCCTTATCCCATGAGCCATGGAGTTCAGGGTTCAGGAAAATCCGGCCAAGCGCTCTGCACCATGCTATTAGGCTGTCCTAAGGCCTGCAATCCTGAGACCACAGCCAATGGAACAGATCCCCTCTTAGTCAAGGGGACCCCAGGGAAACCTGAAAAAATGAATTCCTGGCCATGATGGAAGGAGAGGTCAGAGAAGCCTCATAAGAGCCTTGCACCTTTGGAGTATAGGGCCCCCAAACTGACCAGCATGAATGTTAAAATAGGCATTGTTAGATTATTCAGAATGGACTCTGTGACAATCAGGTACAGATTATGAACAACACCTGAGGCCATGCAAGGCCAGAATTAACACACAACCTAGAATGCACAGATTCTCCTTCACTGGGTTTTAAATTGACCCAGGGTACTGTGGCTGACTTACCTCCCTGACTCTGCGACAGCATCACGTGGCAGAGGCAGACCCTCTCTCTGAACTAAAGCATGCCTTTATACCAACTTCATGTCTTTAGACGAAGCTGAACTCTTTCAACCAATTGCCAGTTGGAAAATCTTTGAATCCACCTGTGACCTATAACAACCCCTGCCCCCACTTCAAGTTACCTCATCTTGTTAGGCTGAATCAATGCATACCTTCCATGGGTTGATTTATGCCGTTACTCCAATTCCTGTCCCCTCAACTGTGTAAAACAACTTCCCTGGGCACATTTTTTCAGGACCTCTTGAGATCCCCAAACCATGGTCACTCATATTGGCTCAGAAGAAACTTCCTCTTACAGATAATTTGTTAACAGCCCCAGCCGCAGGCCTTGGCACACCTCTTGCTCGGCTTGGGAATTCCCAAACTGGCTACAGGCCCCCAGCCCTCCCCTCCCAACCAGCACACACTTCATCTCACCATCAGCTCCACCTGTGCTCACCTGCGTGGGCCTCTGTCAGCTGCTGATCCGCACCTGTTTCCCACCCCTCCTGACTGCAGGGCACCCCCTCTGTGGGCAGTGCTCACTGTCGCTCGGCCCCTCAGTCCCTGAGCTCCCTAGGGTTCTCCATCTCTATGGGGTGCTGGTATCCTCAGGCCAGGCCTCCTTTAGTAAAACTTGGCTCCTGCTATGAAATGTACATCTAGTTCCTAGAGAGTGTGACTGAGTCCCCATGTAAACCTTCTCTGTCACCTGGACTGCGGGGCATAGACCCCACCTTTCTGCTGGTGGTGAGCAATGAAGCAGACAGCTTCAACTGGGCTGGCAAACACCTGACATCCAATGCGGTGCCAGTCTCGGGATGAAGCTGATGCCGCGAACAGAATGACAGAAAAACCAGCAGGTCAAACCTACTTTCAGGTCACCCTGTCTGTCTTCCTGGAGCTGGCAGTTTCACAGGTCATTATATTACCTCTATTACATATGGCAATTTTAGGTGGCTTTTCAACAAGTGCAGTGTAAAAGTTCCAACTGTCAAGTTCACCCTCCTAACAAAGTTATTCTGGATGTGATGTCTCCACCATTGTCCTGTTTCCAGAGCCACAGCAGGTGTGTCCTCCTGGGCGGCAGCCTCGCTTCCAGCATCTGGTGCCTTCTCACCAAACCCAGGCCCAGCACACCACAGGCCCTCAGCCACTGTTTGTTGAATGAATAAATGAATCTTTCAGGTCTAACAAGGAAAGCCCAGGCTTCTATCAAGAAAGCTACACAAACACAGAAGTCACACTAAATCCTGGGAGCAAGAGATGACTGAATGTCAATTGAGGTCACTGTGTTTTGAGGAAGCCACAGCTACTGGTGAGCATGGAGGGAGAGACAGCAAAGGAACAGAGCACAAACCTCTCCACCACCGTGTGATCAGCAGGTTTCTGACTCTGAATATTGGTCAGACTCACACTAGCAGTACTCAGTGGTGCTTCGGAGCAGCTCCTTACTTATGATTCCTAGGCCAACTCCTGCTTGACACTGAAGAGTTCTGAGAATACTCTAATGATGACCCATGGACTTACTGCCCAGACTTGATACTCGTTAGTTCCTTGGAGGTGGTGTTGGACGCCAAAGATCCAGAATCTCAGCAGCCTCCACCTGCTGGCCCTGGGTCCCTGCTGCTGGCTCCCAGCTTCTGGTTTCCGCTGAGGAAGGCTGCAGGGCAGCACCTTTAGGGGAAACCTTGACTTTTCCAATTCTGGGCTCTCTCCAGTGTTTTCCTGAATGCCCCCACCAGAAACCTGGGCATCGTCTCTGAACCGTTCCTCATCCCTGTGTGAATCATTCCAGCTCCTGACGTTTCTGCCCCCAAATGCACTCCATGTGGTTCAGGTCTCACCTTAACTTCCTCACTCTGGTAGAGCCACTGCTGTCTCATGGGCCTCTGCTAGCCCAGGTGAAGCCAGTGCTAGGCACAGCCTCAAACTGTGCAGCCCACTGGATGCAGGGTTTAGTGGGCAAGCAATGCCTTTGAGCAAATAAAAAAAGGGTGCCTTTTTATTTGGCCAGTCTCAGCTTCATGCCATGGCTCATGGCTTGGCAAGCAGAGGGAGGCCCGACTTTAGTTCCCACAAGCCCCTCTGGTCCAGCTGCTCTTGTACAGTGATCACCTGCATCCCTGTACTGGGGGCCCTGCTTTTGCCTGGATGCTGCACGAGCTTTGAGGGGCAGCTGCTTCCATTCCTACCTCCTCAGATCCTTTGTTCACCTGCAGCCAGAGTGATGCACACACGTGCACACACACACGCGCACGCACACACACACGCACACACACACATGCACACAAACACACGTGTGCGTGCATGTGCACGCGCACACACACACACACACACACACACACCCCTCCTCCTTCCTGTGCGTATCAACATCCTCTCCTTGCTCTTGGAATAGAGTCCAAACTACCTAACCTAGATGATGGGCCCTGCGTGGCTGATCATCAATAGGTTAGCTAATCTTTGGAAGGCAAGTTTCCCTTCAATAGCATGTAAGTTGGTGTGGGAAAGGGCTTTTTCTGTTAGGTTTTGCTTTTGCCTATCTTGTGTACACTGCATCCTTGTAATCGGACCCCTTGGAATTTCAGCACCCCAGCATGTTTTAGTGACTGAAATAATGAACATTTTGATCAGGCCCTTGCTGGCTTGCACATGTTAACCACTTGCTTTTGGCCCAATATTCCTTGTTCCCACAATATAATGATAAACTGCTCATGTACTATTTCTTTGCCCAGCAGGAAGACATACCTTCAGGGTCAGGAAAAGTTTGCAGAAGGAATGAAAGCCTTGAAGGACACTGTGACCAGCTGCTAACACTCAGAAGCCTGATTGCTCAAGCTGTTATCCGACACTGAAGAAACAGACTTTTCCTCTCAATCCCCCTTCCTTACTCTCTAGCTGCACAAAAACGTTCTACTGCTGCTGCTTTGTTGAAGTGAATTTGAGTGGCCTTGTTCTCCTGCCTTCTCGCTTTGGTCAAACGGAATAAAACTTTCACTATCTCCAAGAACCCGTGTGTCAGTGTTTGGCACATCAGGTACAAGAGCACACATTTCTGCTTCCCCAACATCTGCAGTGCAAAATATTTAACAATGGGCATGGCACAGCCTCTGACCAACAGCCAGAACACACACAAGCCACACACAGGCATGCCTGTCAGCTGAATATCAACCTTGCTCCTGGCTGAAATGATCCCCAGACAGAGGAAGTGCATCGCATACAATTGTTGACTGAATCAATGAATGCGTGGAGGTGGAGGTTGGTGAGGTAAGTGCAAGGAACTGCCAACAATCGATGCTTTGTGGACCAGGGAAACCTCAGCAGGGAGAAGCCTAACTGGAAAGGCTTGTTACCAAGCATGGGGACTTGGCCTCTGGCCAGTGGTGACTGATCACAGGATAAATGGCACAGTTGTCAGGCTTGTGGTGTCTCTGTACAGGGACCAGAGTGGATCTCAGAGAGTACCAAGTGTGCCAGGTGGAAGAGATATGCTCAGGGCCTGAACAGCCAAGAGGATCCTGGGCTGTTCCAGACCCTGAGTCTCTCCTTCCAGGTCATTCCCAATGACCACAAAAGGGAATGCACACTGGGCCTCCTGCTTTGCTACATACAGTCCAGCTCTTTGACCCTCGGGTTTATGATTATCAAACATTCAGGAGCCAACCAATGAGGCAGCCTCATTGGGAGAGACGGCACAGGGACAGAACACAAACTTCTCCCCCTCCACGTGATCGGTAGGTTTCTCACTCTGAATATTGGTCAGCCTCACACTAGCAGGACTCACTGGTGTACTTTCTAGGGGTGAGAGAGCCCTGGACAGTATTTCCTGGATGCCAGTGAGCAGCTGAGAGCTGAAGCTCCCTGGACACTCAAGGCTCTTGTGGTGACAGGTGAGGGGACATGGGTGGAAGGACAGGGCTCTGAGCCTGCACCTTCCTTGGGATCTGGAGGTTGGGCTGTTTTTTGTGCTTGGCTTTTATGCCCTCTCAGCAACCTAAATATTTGTTATCAAGGTGGAAGAAGTCTTTGCTGAAACTTGTGCATGGACACAAGATTTCTGTACTGTATGGTGCCTGGAGAAGGACCAAAGGGTTGAATATGTGGCCCGCCTGCAGCAGTTGCCCTCTCAACTGCAGCAGTTGCACCAAGAAGCTGAGAGATCCAGAAAAAGGGAACAGAGGGAAGAGCGGTAGGTAGTTCATCTATCAGGGCTTTATAGAAGGTATTTTATTCAATTTTCAAAACAACTCTAGGGGCCAGGCATAGTGGTTTACACCTGTAATTCCAGCACTTTGGGAGGCTAAGGCGAACAGATCACGAGGTCAGGAGATTGAGACCATCCTGGCTAACATGGTGAAACTGCATCTCTACTAAAAATACAAAAAATTAGCCAGGCATGTGGTACATGCCTGTAGTCCCAGCTACTCAGCAGGCTGAGGCAGGAGAATTGCTTGAACCCAGGAGGCAGAGGTTGCAGTGAGCTGAGATCATGCCACTGCACTCCAGCCTGGAAAGCAGAGCAAGACTCTATCTCAAAAAAAANAAAAAAAAAAAAAAAAAAAAAAAAAAACCAAAAAAAACCCCACCAAAAACTCTAGTCTTCTCCCGTGTTCTACAGATGAAGAAACAGAGGCTCAGAGAGGTTAAGTGACATGCCCAAGGTCACATAGCTAGAAAGGGACAAAACCAGATTCCAGTGCAGGTCTTTCTGACCCTACCTTCTCCCAGTGGCAGAAGCCAGCTTCCTCATGGGCAAAAGCAGAAAGACATACCTTTGAGCAGGTCTCCTTGTTCCTGCAAGACTGGAAGCCATGCAGGCATTCACCTGGTTTCCTCTTTCTTCCTCAGGCCTCCCATAAAGGTGTGCAGGGAGTCTAGCTCTCTCTTCTGGACTTTGAGATTTCAGACACAGAAGTTTGTCCATGGCTCCTTATCACATCCGCAAATACCAGGAAAGCGACCGCAAGTGGGTCGTGGACTTGCTCTCTCGGGGGATGGTAGAGCACGTCCCAGCCACCTTCCGGCAATTGCTGAAGCTGCCTCGAACCCTCATACTCTTACTTGGGGGGCCCCTCGCCCTACTCCTAGTCTCTGGCTCTTGGCTCTTGGCCCTCGTGTTCAGCCTCAGCCTCTTCCCTGCCCTGTGGTTCCTTGCCAGAAAACCCTGGAACATGTTTGTAGACATGACACTGCACACAGATATGTCTGACATCACCAAATCCTACCTGAGTGAGCGTGGCTCCTGCTTCTGGGTGGCTGAGTCTGAAGAGAAGGTGGTGGGCATGGTGGGAGCTCTGCCTGTTGACGATCCCACCTTGAGGGAGAAGCAGTTGCAGCTGTTTCACCTCTCTGTGGACACTGAGCACCGTCGTCAGGGGATAGCAAAAGCCCTGGTCAGGACTGTCCTCCAGTTTGCCCGGGACCAGGGCTACAGTGAAGTTGTCCTGGATACTGGCACCATACAGCTCTCTGCCATGGCCCTCTACGAGAGCATGGGCTTCCAGAGGACGGGCCAGTTCTTCTTCTGCATTTGGGCCAGGCTAGTGGCTCTTCATTCAGTTAGTTTCATCTACCGCCTCCCTACTGCTCAGGCAGGGGGTCTGTGATCTCTTTCTTTGTGTATTGGTCAGAATATAATCAATTCAGCTGTAGCAGCAAGCAATCCCCAACCTTTCACTGCAATTACACAATAAAAGCTTATTGTCCATTCACATCCGAGTCCCACGTGATTGGTTGTGGGTGGCTTCTGGGTTTCTGCTTCATTCAGTGTTTTTGAGTCCCATCTGTTTCATTTTTCTATTGCCAGGATAATGTTGCATAAAAACAACCATAAAATGAAACAAATACTTATTTAGCTCATGAGTTTGCAGGTTAGCAATTTTGGCTGAGCTTGGCTGGGCAGTTCCTCTGATCTCAGATTGCATTGTACAAATGCGGTGGTATCAGCTGAAAAACTAGGTCAATGGTACCTTTTTGTTTTCCTGCAGGCTAGCTCAGGCACGGTTTCAAGGAAATCGCAGAGGAGGAAAACAAAAGCAGAAACAAACGAATGTGTTTTCAAACCCCTGCATGTGTCCCCTGCATGTGTTGCATCTCCCCCAAACTCAGGGGGTGACAGGAACCTGCCTCTGTAGTGAGAAGGGCTGCAAAGTCATATAGCAAAGGGTGGGATGCAGCCGTGGGAGAAGAATTGGGGCCAGAGACACAATCGATCCACTCTAACCCCACGCTGTCTGCAGAGGGGAAAAAGGTGGCCTTGGCGGGGAGTGTGGGATTTACCATGGGCTCGACCTGGAAGCAGTATAACTCTTCCAGGGGGTTATGATAGAATACCTGAGACTGGGTAGTTTATAAAGAAAAGAGGTTTATTTGGCTCATGGTTTTGCAGGCTGTACAAAAAGCATAGTGCAGGCATCTGCTTCTGGTGAGGGCTTCAGGAATCTTTTACTCATGGTGGAAGCTGAAGGAGGAGGAGGTGTGTCATACGGCGAGACAGCAAGCACGAGAGATGCTAGGTGCTTTCAAACAACAAGCTTACATGTGAACCAACAGAGCCAGAACTCAGCCACCACCACCGACAGAGCACCAAGCCATTCATGAGGAAGCCACCCCCATGACCAAAACACCTCCCAGTAGGCCCCACCTCTAACATTGGGGGTCATATTTCAACATATGATTTGGAGGGATTAAACATCTAAACTATATCAGTCTGCCATTGACCTCCAAATCTCATGTTGTCTCACACTGTAAAATGCAATCATCCCTTTCTAATAGTTCTCCAAAGTCTCAACTTGTTCCAGTATCAACTCAAAAGTCCAGAGTCCATAGTTTCATCTGAGCCTCAGGGCAAATTCCTTCCAACTATGAGCCCGTTGGATCAAAAACAAGTTACATACTTC